TAAATGGATTCATTGTTTTTCACTATCAATTATGTTCAGGATTATTAAAATGAATAAAAAATAAGGGCAACATTATGGAAATGATACTTTTAACATGGAAACAATGGTAAAATTTCTTAAAAAGACAATTTTGGCAAAAGCAGATGAAGAATATTTGTTGCTTTGTACTATTAAAACCCATCTCTACCATAAAACTGGTTTCCCCATATTATAACTTTGAGGCTGAACGCTTGAGAGGAAATGTTCATAGCACAGATCTTAAGAGAAAGGGGTCTATTGCCTATAAGATAGAGATTTTATTTGAACTTCTGAGCTTATATTAAGGTGGACCAAGTAGATGAAATCTGGAAACTGAAATTGATTTGTTTACTTGTAGGCTTATATAGTTTGATCACAACATTCATTTCAGTAAAACATTTAAGCAGCATCCAAATTCTAGAAATTTGGCATTTTCCAAAACAATTCGGCAAAAACAACTGGCATTTTCGTTGCTATAGAAACCCTTTCCTGATGTGCACTTATCAAAAGTTCTTATACTGCACCTACCTTAATAATTGGCAGCTATTTGACCTAGATGATATTTTAAAAGCGTGTTATGGCTATATAGTTACATGTTCATAGTAGCCTGTATGCTACAGTTCTATGTTTTGGTGCCTATTTCTATTTATTTCTGCATTTTGTTCAAGTTCAGCTGAGATTTCTGACAAGTACATGTAAACAGAAGTTAAATCTACTTGACTTGATAAACAGTGATATACAGTAAAATAGTATATTTCTGTTTTGGTTATCCTGGGTTGTGTTGGTGTTAGTCTTGTATTGAGCCATCTATTTACCTTATAATTATGAGCTACGATGTAGGACTAGTATATGTATACTCTGGCCATACTTGGAGATTCATATGTCATACCCCCCAGACCATGTATTGCTTCACCTTCAAATGTGATATGGGGGGCTGGGGGGGGGGGGGGAGTTTTGAAGGGCCTGGTGCAAGACTACCCAGTTTTTACTTATCAAAAGGATAACTTGAAAATAAGAATCATTTTAATCTTAAAACTCAACCCTGAAATGTGAACTCAATCAGTATTCAATTAAAGAAGGTTTTACTGTATATTATTTTCTCACACTATCAGTGCAGATTTACTTCTGCCAGCTTTCTAATTGTGATTGGCATATATCATGACTAGTGGCAGGCTCTGTTCCTGAACTCTGGAAATCTGAAATCTTGGAGTCTGAATTCTTGTATGTAGCCATGTTTGTTCCTGCTTTGAACTCTGGAATGCAAGCTATTGGGGAATTTGATAGGTATCTATTGACTTGAAAGTCAATATAAAAATGCATATTTTCAACTTACTCTCAACCACACTTGTCGCTTGATTACACCAGTTTAATTTTCAAAATATAAAAATTGTTAGTACAAAAGAGGAAAACTCCCATTAGGCAACACAAAGTAATTTGAGATCTTTATTGAGTAATTTACTAGTTAATAAGAGAAAATTTATTCAGAAGATAGGGATTTCAGCCTTCTATTCAAAGTAGTCATACCTTAGTAATCCATGATCTTACTGTCTCATATTCCTTAGAATTTTAAGTCTTGCTTTGTTCTTGACCAAAAACAAGCTGTTTAAGGAAAGATATATTATAGAAAGGATGGATTTGTTTGGCCAGATCATTTGTTTGGCTTGTTAAATGTTCTATGAGAAGTTTTCATAAATTTTCAAAAATTTTCATCTAATTTTTTCAGTTGTTTTCATATAATAGAGACATCAGAACAGCTATGAATGAGTCTTAAAAAAAACATGGTAATTATTGTTGATTCCTTGAAGCTTAAAGACAGATCTCTCTGTGAAAGGAAGTTGCTTGAGTTACTGTTTTGAAACATTTAATTGCCCAGAAGTGACATTCATCTTAGTCCTATGTGAATTTCTATTAGGAATTTGACTTTTGAAGGGTTAAAGGTTTGAAATGATCCATTCTTAATCCAGTGTCAGTTTGTGCCAATGAGTGCATGGATGGGGACTTAGCTTCCTATAGTACGCATAAACTTGTAAATATGAACACCTCTTTTGTGAACACCTTTTGATGTGAACACCTTTCTTATGTAAACACCTTTTATGGATCCAGAGTTTGTAATGTGCCATTGACTCGCATATTAACCTCTTGAATCCCAGGCTCTAAAATCGGTTGAAACCAGAGCATTTTTCATTTTTGCCACCTTTTGACATTTTACTACATACCAATACAAAGATCATTTCTACACATTTTAAACAATTTTTGGGGTAAAATGGATGAAAAGCATTCAAATAAGTCCAATTTTAGTGAACAATTTTGTGACAGATTTTCTCATCACTCTGGGTTTCAAGATCATTTCTGAGGTGATGAGAAATCTTGTCACTCCAGGTAGTCAAGAGTTTAGGAAACCTTCAAATATGGACACCTGCTTATCTGATAATTCTACACCCCCCCCCCAATAGAATAAGGAAGAATAGTGTCTTTATTATACATTGTATGGTGAACAACAACTACAAAGAGGTATTAAGAATCCAACAAAGTGTGTAGTTGAATACACTGTGTAGAAAACTGGTTTGATTTGAAATCTGTTTCTAGTTAGTGATTTAAAAACCACTTCCAAGATAGACTGAATGCTGATTCACATTTCACAGCCCTTTGGATTGTGAATTTGTTTCAAACCTCTAAACCTAAAATCATACGAAAAGATGTTAGAAATACTGAAGGAATTACAAAAATTACGCATCTCGGAATTTTCTAAAACTCACTCTTTGAATTAAATCTGCGAAATTGCGTTAAAGGTCCTGTTTGTTTGTTATTTTCGTGATTTGTTAATTTGTAAGAGTTGGCAATTGCAAATATTGGAAGTGATCTTTCACCCAATGTCACAGTTAGGGGAGATGAATGAAGAATGGCTCCTTCTGTTGGGCTTACCCTTACTGGCCTTGCTCCATACAACAAGCCAACCATTATTTACCTACACTTCAAAGAGAGAGATTTATGTCCCCTTATTTTTGGCTAATGATCTCAGCTTGTTGATTTGTGCAGTTTGCGCTTGAACAGAGGTTGCGTTGTAATTAAAATCATATTTTTCTTCATTCGTTATGTCATTATTGTAGGGTATTTAACTCATTTGTCTTTTGTTCATTTTTGGAAATGTTTCCATTTTGATTCTATCATATGCGGAAATAATCTACATTCTTTGAAAGTCTAGTTACCTTCAACATTTATCTGCGACCTTTTTAACATTTATGTATATATACCCAGTTTTAACATTTATGTGTACCCAGTTTTAAGATTAATATGTAATCAGTTCTTCTGTATGTAATGAACTCAGTTGTTCTGTACTATTTCATATAGAATTTGGCAGGTCATTAAAAGTAGGGATATTTTCACAAAATTTTGACATCATAGGTTGTATATGTGATCTACTATTTTCTCGTGGCATATTTCTTCAAATAGACTTTCTTTAATAAGGTCAAGTAGACAAATGAACACATTGTCAAATGGGCACATATATTATGGTCAAATGAACCCATATAATGTTGCCAAATGAACAAATGCAGCGTTACCATAGAAACAAAAAAATTCAAGGACCATTATCATCACATATTTGCATCAAAAACAATCAGACAGAAATGGCACATGACAGGTGTTAATCCGACGAATTTATTCAGACTGTAAAATGTAAATTGTTTAACAGAGCAGAAAACAATCCGGGAGTACACACAGGTATTTATTCTTCAAATCGTTTGGTAATCACCGTGGCATTCTTCAGTTATAAATATTTTATGATTTATCAAGATAGAACGCAGTCATAGTTGTGAAAGGGAATGAATGAGGAGTAGAGATACATTTTCAAGCTGCTCAAAATTATTTTGTGCTGACATGGCACAAATTCATAGTATTGATTAGTACCAAATTATCAGATTGTATCATCGATGCTGGAAAATAGGTGCCAGATTAGCACTGATTTTCTTAAATGTTAAATCGGTACCAATGTTACGCTGAAGGAGAACCAATTTGTTAAGTGTGCATCGAGTCTGTTATCCATGCATCAATTCTTTTGAGGTGAGGTGTATCGGTAAGGGGTAGGGGAGTCACAATGGCTTGCATCTAGATTATGAATCTGTCAAATTGATGGATTTTCTAATCAAGGAACATATGCTGTACAATATAGAGTAGATTAGGTCCCAATAGGCAGCTATGAAACTCTGTACAATCAGAACAGATTCTTAATCAAATAATTGCAATAAACCCCCTGATTGGATGGATTATATAATATGTTACACCTATAATGAAGCTATAGTTCATAATACCCCATAAAAATTGGCATGTATGGTGTTTTAGATTTAGAAATTTATTAGAAACGAGCGGAATCAGCAAGGAATAAAATAAATAGCCATGTAGGTGAGGTCCTAAATTGTAGAGAAATGCAAGAAAATCGGGCAAAACTATCAAATTTTAGAGAGAAAATGGAAAGATTGTGCATATCTAGTGATAATATTTCGGGCGGTTTAAGGTCCTTTGAGGTTTTCTTGCTGGGAATTGTTGCAGTTAATTGGTGTCTCAAAACTCATCAGGTATGATGTAATTTACCTTGGTATTGGCAAGAAAGATAGATAGCCATGGGGACTAATGCCTATTGGAAGTTTATTCCATTAATGATTTAGTCTCAAATTCATAACAAAGTGGGAGCTCAATGCAGGGTTAATTCTACCTTAGATAGTTTATTGTCGAAATAAGTTTGTATCCTGACTTCATAGTCATTTTTCGGTGATTTTCATACATTGTTAATCCAGGATGTATTGTACACTGTCCATAAAGACAAATATTTCAGGAAACAGGATTTTTTTAAACTAATTGCTCCAAACATTATCTATATTTTATTCATTAATATAACCGATTCAGTTGTGATCCTTGTAATTTGTAATTATACAAATACCAGAAAATTAAAGAAATTAATTAAAATGTTACATTTTATGTTCTTCCAGGAAACAGAAAAGTTTGACAAACCCAACTGGGAACATTTACGCGAGGACCTTCACGTGCTTATCACAGTGGAAGACACGTCAAACAGGGCTGAAGTTAAACTACAAAGAGCAGCCGCAGAAGTCAGGAAACTCCTTGTGCCCGCAGTAAGTACAGCTTTTAACCATATTTGGACATGTTATATATTGCTCGTAAAGTGCTTCACTAATGTTGATGTATATTAATAATTACTTATATTTACCAAATCAGCTTTCGTGACTTAATATCTGAGAATGTTTGATTTTGTGAAAATAATGTATTAATTTGATTTCAAATTAGTATAAGTTACTAAAATTCTAAACATTTGTCGCCTGCATGATTGTGAACTAACAGAACCTATTCCAGATTTGCTACATGTGGCGGTCGAGAGTTGATTCAAAATGGCGGAGTTGTCTCCTTCTATTGACATCTGGATTGCTGCGCTAAAAATTCTTCCTCTGATCTGCATCTTTCTAATTGTTGTATTCCTTGTTTAATACTCTTAGATTTTTCTTTTCATTGTTTTCAATCTTTTCAAGATCTGGGGACTTGTCATATTTTTCTTTTAACATAAACTGAGAATGAGAATTATGTTGATTTTTAAAAGGCACATTCGAGTAATTTATAAAAATGAAAATATGCCTTACACAGATAGACAAAAGAATAAGTCAGAATCTTTTAAATTAATCAGCTCTATATTATACCATATTAGCATAGACTCAAATCTTTGAAGATTTTTGTCTTGAAGTTTTTGCCATCAATCAAGTTACCAAATGCTAATTTTTGGCCAGATGCCTGCATATACTACATATTTTACTAAAAAGGTAGTCTTAAAGGCTAATGCTCAACTTATATACAACCAATGTTCCTCTTTAAAGGCATGACACATTGCATAGGACTAACCATACATCATAGCATTGCCCACCTGGTGAAAACAGGAATAATAGCAACAGTTGTTGGCCTTGTCAGTTCATCAACTAATCTCTACATCTCTATGGGCATTGTTACCATGGTAACCAATGCTTCTGAAGGAGACCCTGGTATCCCATGGTTCTTTGATACCAAATGGAATATCGTCCCATGGTGCAACTTCATCAACTGATTTGAAATCTGGAAAGAAATTGATTATTTCATATATAGTTTGACACTACATAGTTTCACCTTTACCAAGCAATACCAACTGGGGTCTACTTCTAAAAAAGAAAGAAAAATATGAAACAGGAAAAAATCATAGACCCCATCATCCCAACATAACCATTACATGCCAACTGAGATGTCAGAATGTCAAAATAAGATAAATTCCAGTTAATTAAAGGATGTGTGTATCTTCTCAGAAAAGATTTATCATTGTTCATTAAAGGTTGTGTCCCAAATATTTTCAGAAAGTATTGTTGTCCTTTTTTTATTTTTTTATTTTTTTATAATATCGAAATATCCCCAGCATTTCTAGCATTTGGATGCTACATTCTTTTAAAAATTTGAAAAGAACATGCCACCCTGTTAAAAACCTGTTTGCACCTTGTCAAAACGATGAAGTATAAAACATAAGGTGATCACTGTTAAAGGTATTGTTTTTTACTGTGATTATTTCTAGCTAGATTACTTCCTTGATTCATCTACGAAAAATATTTCTTGATTCATATAAGGAAAAATATTTCTTGGTGTGTATTATCAGGATGGATTTCATCCACTATTGTTTGTATCTTTAAACTTTACAACCGTTAAATCTTAATGCTGCTTTGATTTGCCAAAAGTATTCAGATTAGCAGGTGTTCACATTTCAAGGTTTCTTATTTGCGAGTCAATGAGAGATCAGGGCATAAAAAGTATTCTTTTGAAAGGTGTTCAGATTAGAGAGATGTTTGGATACACAGGTTTTACGCTTTTAATTATAAAAAAATGTTCATTATAAAATATTTTCATATTTCTTAATATGCGAGTTAATGAGAGATCGGGGCATGGAAAATGTTCTTTTTCATAGGTGTTCAGATAAGACAGGTGTTTGGATATACAGGTATTACTGTCTATACAATAATATACAAAATGTTCTTTCTAAAATATTTTCATATGAACCACAAGGAACCACAAGGAATTGATATCAGGGATCTTAGAAGCTTCTCTCTATCTCTAGTGATAGTACAAGATGAATGGTCATAACAAACAGTCTCCTTTTGGGATTACCCTTTGCAATGACTTGGCTTTTTACATACTCTCAAGATTTGTGAGATTTTTATTCTAGCCAGAACTTCAGTCAGAATATCACAGAATATCTATTTATTTATATTAAACCAAAATCTAAGTCGTTAAATCAGCTGCATTTGAGTCCGTTGAGACCTGAAAAGCTTTATAATTGTTAAATTGTTTGTTGTAGTTAGAGGGTTACATGGTTTTCAGTTTAAGTCAGGGTATCTTGTGGGATAGAATGTTGATTATTTCATTGATATGTTAGAAACACTGCTCCACAATCAGTAGAGTTAGTTGGGCCAAATATTTGACTGATGCCTTATATAAACAACTGATAAATAAAATTTTCCTGGAGCGGGGGGGGGGGGGGGTGTACTTAGCTTCTTTCTTCATGACAAGACAGTATTTGAGATGCAAAGATGAGAAATCAAGGAAATGGATTGTTGGAAGATTTTTTCAAATTTGGAGAGTATGTAGATTGGATTTGGCATTGAAATAGAGATTTCAAGCACGGGATGGCACTATAAATAGTTGCTTAGGCTTTAGATGCTTTTAGTGGCATCAGACAGGGTATCTTTGATGGATTCTTCTGTGTTAAGTTATCATAAATTAATAACTGCCCTTGGCTGTGTAAATTAATTAACCTGATAAAGATCAAGGTTATACACCTTTTTAAAGCCCATTTTCAACAGGTACAATATTAACAGGTCACTCTGTTGTGCCTGTCTCCATCACAATTCGCTTTCCGTTTCATATAATATTAGTGAACAATTTCACAGGCCCATTTGCAGTTCTATATTCATTTATGTTTCTTCAAAAACTGTTCAATGTTCAGCTGTTCTCATTTATTATTGGTGAATAATATTTTTCACTGTTTGTTATTTTGAAAGCAACCAGTCTATGGCCAAAGGAGGTATTCTCCCAAACTGCATCATTTGTTATATAGCCTATTAGGCGATTTCTTGATTTTAAATTTGGTGAATGATAGTGGTAATCTGAGAGTAAATGATTTCACGTTCAAATACACATGTTTTTTGGATACATGTATATTGTTCTTTTGAAGGGCCTGGGGAATATGGATCTGAAGGGACATCTTAAGATTGGGAATGAATCTAGATTTGTTCATATACAAATAAGAATATTCAAATTGGCTAAGTCACACTACTTTTTAGAGGCTCGGTTTGCTTGCATACAACGAAATGAGAAATTCGTTTTACGATAACGCTTTTGAGACGCGATTTGTCTTCGATTGAGTGTTAAATCCTTGAGCATTAAAATACATGTACATTGCACCCGCCACATGTTAAAACTCAATCAGAGGTACAAACGGAAATATGTTATGAATCTTAGAATGACATGTACAGGTTTAACTGTATGCCTTATTTTGTTTTACAATCATGGAGCAGTTTATTTAAGTGCTAGTCATAACAAAAGATTATTATATTGGTAACTGCCATAATAATTTCCCTAGCGGGTTTCCCGAAATTGAGACTGTATAGGATAGAATGCCTAATTTTAGTGTAATATGAACTTCAATGCCCAATTTTAAGATATCATTCATAAATTGCCCAACTGTAGTAAATCATCCAAAAATGCCTAATTTTCATATTCATATTTTATATGGACTCGTAGCATGCCTGACTTTTATTGACAGTAAAACACTTCTGCAATCTGGACACCTCTCATCCTGAACACTATTGGTCCCAATTTCCCATTGGCTTCCTTGTTAAAGAAACCTTAAAAGTGAATAAACACCTGTTATATCGGACACTTTTGGCCAGTTCAAGTGTTGTTTTGATCAGACAGGTTTTACTGTTTGGATTAGACTTTATATAGAATGGCCAACCTGTTTTCACTTGTGGATGTTTTCTTTTAACAACTCAGTCAGTGTCAAATTGTACACTAATAACCAAATTTGCTTCATATTTCATCACTTCTTTTTACAACTTCTCAAATCCGTGTCAGTCTGACTTTACGGAAATAACCCGTCTATGACATTTCTCACCCATCGTCTCAAAGCATGACCAGTTTGCTGGACTTTTGTCAGAGATTTCAACAATTTACCCAGTTTTGTATTCCTTGACATCCCACTTTTAGAGTATATCTACCAGCTTATTTGATTTCCTCTAATTCAACATATTGAAAACATTATGTTTTTGATGTTTTATCGCCATGGTTTTTGATTTGAGGGCAATAACTGAGGTTAATAAGAAGCCAAGAACTCTGACACATGCTGCTTCATATTATATTATTTGAGATGTGTCAAGACTCTAAAATATCAACTTTTCAACTCTTAATTAAGTTTCTGGTATTCTATATAACATAGTATTATTGAAAGCAAGTGTCTGAGATATAAGGGTGACAAAATTGCATGATTTAAAGGGATAACTAAGATTGTATAGAATTTCAAGTGTTGGAAGCAATATTTTCAAAAAGCATGCCAATGTTCCAGAAAAGTTGCTCATACTACATGTACTTTTAATGAACTTTTTGAAGGTTTTCGTGTGTTTTGAAAAGTTTGACTGAACCAGATTTTTCCCATTTATTAAACCTTCAGTACATGCCGCCCGTCTTGTCCATGGAGTGGCAGTTAGGTTGCTGTAAAAACAAAACATGTTTTTGAGCTATGAAAACATAAGTAAATATACTCCTTTTGATAAAGAAAACAAGCAGACTTCAAATCTGTCACAGACCACCTTTAAATAATAGCAACTCCAAATGAAGGGGTATAAATTAGACAATTTCAAATGAATCTGTACAATTGGGAACAGCTTCAAATGAAAGGTCCTAAGTCAGGATAGTTTCAAATGAAGGGGTAGCGATAATCGCATTAATCATTGTGCCAAACTCCAAGTTCAGTAAATCAGTAAATTGACGGTTCATAGACTCCCTAATCTTTTAACAGGGCACCAATTTTGTTGTCTAACTTAATAATGCTATGTCA